AAAGACAAAAGTTGAAGGACAGAGCTGTGCTGCTATTATTCACATCTTATCCATCTCCAGTATTGCCAGTGCATTTTCTGGTTGCTCCTGTTTGCAGCTGCATGGCTGGTGGGCAGCTCTGGGGTTTTTTGACCCATTTTTGGCTTTGTTGATTTGATCAAATATACAAAACTGATGGAAATAAGAATGGCATTAGTCTGAAAAGGTGTTAGGGTTGAGCGTTCCTGATTTGTGCAGGGGGTTGGACCCCAGTGACTGTTGAAATCCCTTCCAACTCTGTGATTCTGTTAGTCATGTAGCAACGTGTATGATGCAATATACAGATAAGGGAGGGGACTCCTCGATATCCCGGATGACCAGAATCCAGCCGGCCTTGTCTTCATCTCGCAGAGCTCTGCTAATACTGCTCTGCATTTGAACTGTCCCAAACTGGGCCAGCTTCCCAGTCCAGAGTCTCTCATGAGGACTGTTTGTGCCCTGTCCCCATGTCCCTGCTCTTGCATCATTTTGTTTGTGCACATGTGTGGAGGGGACTAGTTGGAAAAAATAAACACAAGTTACTTATTGCATTAGCTTGTCTGATCATCTTTCCTTTGTTTCCTGTACTCATTCTTATTTTAATGCTCCTATCTGTGAGGAGCAAGGACCTGCTGGGTTCTTTTCCTCAGTATACAGTACTTCCAGACAATACGTACCTTGTACATGTGCCTCTCGCAGACACTGCACGCAGGAGCAAGTCTTCCACCTTAGATATGTCTGGGTTGTGTTGCTACCAGTTTTACCAGCCCTGAGCATTCAAAACTCAGGAGTCAGGTCCCAAAATAGCATTAAGTTGGCCTAAAAATCGTAAGAATTTTTCTCACAATAAATGTCAAGACTGTTTTATTTGCCTTTGGAGCCTGTGAACCTTGAAGATGATTCGTGTTGTCAGGCTTTTGTTTACAGCTGTGAAAGCTAGAAACAACCATTTTGGCAAGGTGGGTAGAAATTCTCAGGTAACTGCATGAATTCAGGCCCTGAAGAAAAAGCTAGGTATTGTGAGACTTGCATTAAAATTGTGGGAGCTGGCAGTGCTAAGAATGGATGCCTGGGAAAGTTTCACTGGGGAAATCATTTAAATTAATTTTTCCCTTACATTTTTAGAGAATCCTTTGTATTGCAGGCAGATATGAAGGTTGGTTTACAGTTTGTGGCTTTTCTGTGACATTTTGGATTAATGTTAAATTCTTCTCCATTGTATGGCATAGAGCAGCATGGAGCAGAACGTGAAAGCAGCTTTCTGGTTGTGATCACAATCTTGCCCTTGTTTAAGTCCTTGGCAGCGTTCCTGCTGATTTCAATAGAGGGCGAACCAGGTTTGGAGCTTGCATCTTGCATCATAAATGGAGTGTGAGGTTGGCTAAGAAGGCTTGCCGGCTTGGTGAGCTAGAAAGTAAGGCGTGATCATAAAACAGAGAAGAAAGAGACATCAGGCAGGCCTTCTTGCATTCAGACAAGATTTACATTCTCCTCTGTCTCCATATCCCCTGTAAATACCAATTAGCATTAGCAAGTGTTTAAATAAAATGGACTACCAAGGCCTATTGCAGTGACTGCCTGGGAGTGTTGAACAGCCTCCTCCTGGGCAGCCCATGAGCAGTCACTAGGGAACTTGCCTGTGAAACCAGAGGTGGTTTTTGCACCCTAAGAAGTTGTCTTTGCCTGGCTATGAGGTGCAAGATACAGTGCAGCGCTGCCAAGTCCACTGCCATTGTGGGGAGGGGAGGTCAAGTTGGGAGCGGAGGCATGTGGATGGGGTTGAGTAGGAAAGTAACTTGCAGCTGTAAAACTGCCCTGCTGCCCCGTAGAGGGACATAGCAAATAACACGTCTTGTTTTTGCTGTGAGGTCCATGCAGGCTATCAGCTGCTATGTACAAATCCACTTGGGTCATAGCTCCACCTGCCTGGCTTCCTTGAATGCACCTGGCTGGCAAAACAGGAAAGGCTGTGCTGGCTCAGGTTCTTTGTGTGCTGGGGTGAGGGTATGCCATTGCACCGTGTGCACACTGACACTGCTTGTTCTGTTTGTGCAGATCCTGTGCTCCAAGTGCCAGTACACGTGGAAGAGTAAGTCACCCTGCACGCTTCATTCCTTTTATTGCTTGGTTTGCTTTTCACTGACAGCATGAAGTCTGGCTTAGTTTATACCCACTCCCATATATTTTCTAAAGCAGGGATCGGATGAAATACCCCAAGGAAGCAGATGTGAGGCAGTTTAAAAAGCAGATATTAAATGGACAGTCAGATATGCCGCTTCCCCAATTTGTAGATGGAGCATCTTTCCCTCTTACCATTTTTCTCCAAAACGCTGAGGTTTGGAGCCTGAGCAGCTTGGCTGTGCTGGTTCTGGAGTTACTGATCTGAGCTGCCTTGCAAACTGCAGAACTTGTGGGAAACTATCTCCAGATTCTCCGTTTTTTAAATATTTTTGTTAATATGCCATAAAAAGCAGAGGGAACCCAAGCAACAGCGTATCTAAGTGCTGCACCACCAAGCTGGCACTGAAAAGCAACTCCTCTCACTAGTCCATGTAAGACATATCGCTTGGACGCACTGGTCCCAGTTGCTCTCCCACTGAAGTGAAATGAAAACATGGATGCGATTTTCCCCCTCCCTCTCCACGTTTACTGAGTGGTGGTACTTTTGCTCCTTTTCTAGGCTTCCCTTCCTTTTCTGCTTGCCTTACATTGTGTAGTACTGGAGATAAGTCTTGCTTCAAAGTGTTAACACTCCCGGAAGATCATACTTCACCTATTCATAACGTTGACTTCTGAGCTCATTGGCAGTCCCTGTAAAATAAAGTCCTTTGCTCCAAGTGATGCTGTCACGTGCAAAATGAGCTGCTTTCCTTTGCATGGCTACTCCAGCCTTACAGCTCCTGTCCAACATGAAAAAATTGATTTGGTCTCATATGTGCCTCAGCTCTGAGGTACCCGGGGAAAAACTGCCACTTATGAAGTGGAAGATGGTTTTTGCAAAGGAGCGCTAGCCATAGGGGGGCTTGGGGGTAGGGACTGAGATAAGCCGTTCAGGCTAGTCTGAAAGTCAGGTGTGAACTGTGATCTCTAAATGGCTTTATGCATTGTATGTATGCAGGTCAGCCCAGACTCAGCTGGACTAGGAACAATATGGCAAGTAGTGTAGGTTACACGCTCTGCCAGTTCTGAAATGACTTTTCTTTGATTGTTACTGTTCTTTAAAAGCCTAATTAATAGATCATGTCTCCAAAAACTTCATAATACAGTCAGTAAGCCAATGTCAAAAGGGCTCCTTTTCCAAGGGCATTGTTCCTTTCTGTTTGCTGGCAAGTGCAAGCTGTTGGTTTATTATTTAAAAGAGGTACATTATTCCTAGGCCGGCATTTCTTCCAGACCCGAACGATGGCAGTTTGTATACCCTTGGTGGCAAGAATAACGAAGGCTTGACTGTAAGTGTGGTTTGGAAATTCTCCCCTATGCTAATCGGATTGCATGGAGCTGGTGACCAGAGGAAATTCCCACTTTTCTGACACTCTTGTATAATTCTGCTGGCCGTCTATAATTTGTGCTGCTTACAGGAACACACATGTATTTCTTGGAAAAGCCCGTTTGTATTAGCACTGCGCAATGCTGGTGCCAGTTTTTGGATACAGATTTCTGGAATGACAACACCCCAGTTGCGTTGTTGGCTGGCTTCAGAGGGGGTCAGACTCCTCTGAAGACTCCTTTGAGACAAAATTTCTGGCCTTCCTTGGGATCGTTATCTTGAAGAGATCAACAAGAGATGCATCTGTTTGGCCCATTTTTGATATTTTTGTAACACTTACTAATATAATAAGGGCTATAATACCTTCTGAGGCCCTCGAGAGATAGTATTCCGAGAAGCAACTTGGGAGGTTCATGCATCCATACAGTACAGTCATTTATGGCCTGGAAAACCCCCAAAGTGCTTAACAATCCTGTCAAGAAATCCAACCAAACCAGGAGAAGTAGGGATTCTGGGCTGACTTTGATAGAAGGTGATTTTTATAATCAGGTTAAAATATCAACCATGTCAAAATAGTCTCCTAGCCATCTACAGATGTTAGCTGAACATTTAACTAACTGAAACTGCTTTGTGATGAGATGCAGATAAAATGTTTGTCTTGCCATGAGTTTCTTTTTCTGGCGACTGCAATAGCTTCCTTGTAGAACTCTCTAACATTTTGAAATTTTTTTAACCAAAGAAATCTTTTCTGACAAGCTTTTTCCTAATGCACCCAGATAAGCAATCTGTACTTGTGGAATTATTTTTAGTGAATTATAGTGATACAAAGAAATAATAACAAGATAGTGAGAAGCCACCAAATGGGGTCTACTGTCCCCAAAACTGAGAAAAATTGCACTCAATTCAGAGAGTAAAAATTAACTTTTGCCTTTTTTTCCCTAGAAACTTCCATTCACCATCCCTGAGCTGGTGCAGGCATCACCTTGTCGCAGTTCAGATGGGATCCTATACATGGGTAAGTGGTAGCTAAGCTCTCCATATATTCAGTGATTTAGAGGACTGCAGAAGCCCCAACAGCAACTGAAAAATGCAAAGAACTCAAGACAGACTGAGCACTCTCACATGGAAACATCTCAGCTGTGACTCTTCAGCATAGCCACTCATAACGTTTTCTGATATCAGAGAATCTGATACATAGAGAACTCAATGGTGTATAGACATAAAAAACAGTTGCCATTACTCTGGAAGAAAATCTATTTGCAAATCGTGACATTCAGACCAATTTTTTAAAGTTACGGTATCACTGCGGATAACGAAATAACTTCTGTTACAGATGTGAAATTAATTCAGTATAGTTGCACATAAACTTTCACATACTTATACATATTATAGTATCAGACAGCAAAGACTCCCATTATGAACTGCGTATGCCCCTGGCAGCTGGGTGGGCGCGACTGTGCCGCCAGCAGCAGGAGTGCAGCAGCAGCCTGGCAGCGGGAGCTCCTGTAGACGTCATTGGCACTGTTGGTGACGGGGCACAGCGTGGTGAGTGCCGACCATGGGTCGGTGACCACCCACAGGTGCCACTGGCAGCATCAGCCAGGGGTGATCAGGGACTGCTTGCAGACGCTGCCGCTGGTGCTGGCGGTGTAGTGGCAAGTGGTGACCACCCGCAGGCACCTTTTTGCAAGGGGTGCACCGCCACGCGTAGGGGGTGCACATGGGCCCGCGTCCACCCCCTCCGCGTTGCCCCTGACTCCCATAATAATTGAGCCAGCAGATACAAGGTCTGACATATTAAGAGTCGTAGTGCGAAGAGGACTGGACTGTGTTCTGTAAGTTGTAAAGGTCCTGTATAGTTCAATTCTTTAGCCTAGCTACACAGTCATGCTTATAGTAGAGATGTGGTTACAACCTGTGTAAAAGTTAGACTCGTTAATAGTTGTATAAATGGGGCAGCAGGTGATTGGTAGCTGCCAATGACAGTACTTATAACTGAAAAGAATAAATTATAGAAATACAGTAAAAGCTCTGTTAACCGGCATCCACGGGGAATGGAGGGGTGCTGTTTAATCAAATATGCTGGTTATCTGAGAGTTTTTTTTCAAGAGAGAAACTAAGCCTTAATTTTAATTGTGATATAACAACTTTTAATATAACATTTTAATATAACATTATTATAACTTTTAATATAACGTTTTAACTATGATATAACAATTTTTAATAATTTAACTATTTTAACTTTAAATATTTTAACTACAATATAAGAAATAATAAAGTAAATAGTATAGCAAGATGGTGTCTCTGATAGATGCCGGTTAATAGAGAATCCCGGATGGTAAAATGCCTGATAATGCCCGATAACGCAGCTTTTACTGTACATAATGGGCAGCACATATGCTTGTAGTAGTCAGTATTGTAAAAGGGGGGTTGGTTGGTTGTGAATGGTTATTTTGCTTAAAAATGTGTTGATAATTTATTCGTAAAAGAATTATGAAAAAACAGAACCCGAAGGTGTACAACAGAGCTTTTTCTCAGGTCAAAAACCCCATTTCCTAGAAGTCTGGCTTTTGTACTGTTTACATTCTGTTTTTCAGGTAAGAAGCAAGATATCTGGTATGTGATAGACCTCCTGACTGGAGAGAAACAGCAAACCTTAACTTCTTCATTTGCAGAAAGCATTTGTCCATCTACATCTCTCCTGTATCTTGGGCGAACAGGTTAGATACTTTTCCTGACACTTAAACTCCTCCCTCCTCCCCAACTTTCTTTTAAGCCAGCATAGCTTCCTCAGGACTAACCTTGCGGCAGGTTTTAGGCTTAATCTCCTACAACAACTTTTAGAAATGATGGCTCATAATTATGCATAGCAGAAAGACTCATTCCCAGATAGTGATGGAAAAGTGCTGTCTGAGGGACTTAAATGTGGTCTCCTTCTGAAGCCTGTGTGATTTCCAAGGCAGACTCTAACAATACTGGCTTTTATATTCTCTTGTGGTACTGGTGTATTGCCCTTGCAACTGAGAGCACTCTTGGCTCCTGAAGCGTTTGTTTTTCATAAACCAAAGAGTTGAGGGATTTGAGGAGACAGCTGACCTGCATGCTCTCTTCTAAATAAAGATTGAAATAGATCAGGGAACAAGATATGGGAAGTACCTCTGGTGAGAAGGAATGTGTTTCCCCCATGATATCTATAGGTTAGTGTGTTCTTTATGAGTATTTTTAAATGATCTTTTATTGCAAAAGTCCAGTTATAGCATGTAATGCACTCAGGGATTGGCGTGCCTTACACAAGAATTAGACAGGATTATGGTAGCAGTCATCTTCTCAGAAGGACAAAGTGCTGACAGCATGCCAGCATGGCAAGGTCTTCTCCTTTTTGCTTTCTGAGCTTCCTTTGGAGCAATACATTTCAGCGGGGCGGATAGTGGTTTTACCTTCAAATTCCTTAAGTGGTGTAAAATCTGGAAAAGCAGGTTAAGGTCATTCTTGTGAAGTGTCTGCCATTCTAGCCTATGAGTTGTGTTCTCTCCCAGGATTCTGCTTCACAGCATGTGTGTTTTCTAACAGAGTACACAATCACCATGTACGACACCAAAAACAAGGAGCTCCGGTGGAACGCCACCTACTTTGATTATGCAGCCACTCTGCCTGATGAAGACGTGAAATACAGTAAGAGCTCTACCTCATTTTGCTTGTTGTCACTTGTCTGTTACACTCCAAGGTAAATGTAAAAGCAAGCTGATATTTTCTTGATAATGTGCATGTGCATCTTCCCTGTCCCATTCTTGTCTTTTTTTGATATGTTAAAATGTAAAAGAAATGACTGGGGTGTTGTCTTGTATCAATGCATGGCACATGGCAGACTCAGTTTGTGCCAGCAAGATACAGGGCCCACCTGTGCCCATCATATAGCTGAACTGGGTCTTCTGGATCTGGCCATCTTAAATAGAGTGTTGAAGAATTTCTCAGCCTCTTGGTGAAGCAGGAGCATTTCCTTGTAATGTGCATTTGGTGATTGGATGGTATATGTTAGCTCCTCTGTGGGCACATCTACACATTCATTAATTGGACCATAGTTACTGTTAATTTCATTTAGTACTAACTAAGGAGTTTAGGACTAAATAAGCAGTGGAGCCAGCGCAGTTTTTTTGTGACATTTACTACGCAGTAGCCTAATAACACTGCGCAGTAAATTAGCATGTTTGCTGACCAGCACACTACTGTGCAATGTTATTAGGCTACTGCGCAGTAAGCATTTTGTGTAGACGCACCCAGCATGTACAAGAGAGGTCTGCAAGCAGGGCTGGATTAACCCTTTAGTGGTCCCTAGGCAAACAAACTCATGTGCCCTGGGCTGGTCGAGACCCGCCTCCCCACCCTGGCAGTGCTGCCCGCAGGGAGCAGACCTCAGAGCCACCGCTAGGAAGCAGCTGCCGTGGCGGTGAAGCTGGTGGAGGGTGGGGGAAGGGAGGTGTATGGGACTATTCACGCTGCTGCCACAGAGGGAAGGACCAGGGCCCCCTACAGCTCAGGGCCCCAGGCATGTGACTAGTTTGCCTATCCATTAATCCAGCCCTGTCTGCAAGCTGTTACAACAGCATGCTGTTATTTCTAGTGATGCGATAGAGAAGTGTTTGTAGTGCGGTAATTGAGAACTCTGACTCACTGGCTGTGTCTACACAAGATGTTTTACTGTGCAGTAGACTAATCTACTGTGCAGTAAAACATCATCTACACATGCAAGTGTTCACTGTGCAGTAAATTAGTCTGCTGTACAGTAAATTTATTGTGCAGTAAAGCCAAATATCACTAACTGCAGTGTGGAAATTCCCACTGACAAGCAAATCTTTTTTCAATATAGAACAGTGTTTGACTTGAGTAGTTGCTGCTGAATATAAAGGCAACCCAGACAAACTCTCTTGTATTTGCATGTTGTAGAAATGTCCCACTTTGTGTCCAATGGAGATGGACTGGTAGTGACCGTGGACAGCGAGTCTGGGGATGTACTGTGGATTCAGAATTATGCTTCCCCTGTGGTAGCTTTTTACATCTGGCAGCGTGAAGGTCTACGGAAAATCATGCACACAAATGTGGGGATAGAAACCCTTCGTTACCTGACATTCATGTCTGGGGAGGTTGGACGCATCACTAAGTGGAAGTATCCTTTCCCAAAGGAGACAGAGACCAAGAGCAAGTTGATGTGAGCATGAATATTGATATTATTCTCGTAGTCTGTCTGACAGTGTGTTGAGGATGCTGACTAACAATCGTCTAGACTGTTAGTTAATATAGGTACCATTTCATAGTTGGCAAGACAGTAGAAGCAAAGAGAATATAGAATTACAACCTTTACTGTATAACAGTTTCTCTGCGTTGGGTTTGATAAGCTTGTACTGTCTAATGGGAGGCAAAAATAATCGTACATGTTGGTCTCAAAGCAGTTTTGTACTCGGAGTGCGTGCTGAAGTCAATAGGAGCTTCATCTGTTGAAAGAGTAAAGGGTCAGACCCTTACAATAAGAGACCTTGCATTTCCATTTCCCTTTGGTTAATATCAGCAGCTGGATAAGGAATTAGTTGATAAGGCATTCATTTAAATAGGGTTTCATCATTTAAATATTTAGATAGGCCCATGGTTCACTTGACTGCTTACAGATCTAGTCTTTCCAAGAAGACATAAATGCTGCTTTTTCTGGTACCTCAAATGTTAATACTCTATAAAGAAGCGTATGACCAAGATTGTAACTCATATGGTGAAACAACCATTTGGAGATTTCTCCCTAACTTGTATTGTTCTTCTAGGCCAACACTCTATGTTGGGAAGTACTCAACCAGCTTGTATGCATCCCCATCAATGGTACATGAAGGAGTGACTATTGTGGTAAGGACTTTGATGGCATGCTATGAATAGGCTCCTTCTAGCATTAGGTATTGTCCTGTACCATAAAGATTACCGTTCATTCCACCTTCTTTAAGGGTTAAGGGATCCTGGCTCACCTCTAGTTGTTAAAGGGCTGGTAGTGTGTCCTCCCAAAACATTAGAGAAATCATAGCTCTGCCACGGCAAAGAAGGTATCACGGATTCAGCTGGAAAAACCCACACTTTTTTTCAAATATATGTAGTGATTTTTTATTTTAAAATAAACGCTTTATAAAGTCATCCAACTGAGACAGAGCCATAATACATAAGAATATGTATTGCGTGATTTTGTTACCCTCATGTATTGTTTGTTACACTGTGTCTTGTTTTGATAAGCCATGCTATGTATTCCTAAATGCAAGGGTTCTGTAAATCTCCCCTTAACCAAGGGATAAGAGCGTTGTACAGGGGCTGGATTGATTACATTTGTTTTGTATTTGCAAATGGGTCTTCAGAGCCTTAAGGGCTAAAATCTTAGCTTAAGAAGAAGAGAATACAGCCCTGAGGGTTCTGCAGAGGCTTGAACATCCTGGACTTTTAACATTATTATAATAGGCTGCTAATCAAGGAACCCATGACCAGTAAGGAAAGCATGTTGAAACAACAAACAACTAGTCTCAGTGAATATGTGTGATCTTATTTCAAGAACAGTTTTGAATGCCATAAACGACCATTAATAAAAGCTGTTCAGAAAGTGCATCAGTCTGGCTGAGCTGCAATGGAAATCCTCTTGCATATACACCAGGCATTGCGAGTTTGTGTTCCACATTGCAGCTGCTTGCACCTGCTGCTGACAGTGCATCGTGGTTAACTGTGTTGAAGTTGCTACTTCTGCTCTCACTTCTGAAAGCACTGGCCATTGGGTGAGATGTTAAGCCCAGGTCTTGTTTGCTGGCTCTCTAGGTGGGAAATAAAGATCCCATTTCACCTTTCTAAATAAAGAGAAGTGGGCAACAGTCCTTCCCTGAATCACACAGGGTCTAATGTCCGTGGCTGTGTGAGCTGTGCTTGAGGGTATAATGGCTGCCGTGTTTGCTTGCAATCACTGCTTTGCCAACATGCAATTTGTTGCTTGCTAATGTTCTCTGACCATGTAGTACGAATGCCCTGCTCCAGGGAGCAGACACCAAACAAGTGTAGGGCTTCCTTCATTTGCAGTGTTTTCATTTAAACATTGTACGTGCTTTTGAAAGGAAATTTGTGGCTTTTCTAATAAGACATCTAAATTATGTCTCATATCCTGTATTTGTCTGGGCTCTCTGAACCAGGGATCTTGTTGAGCTGCATTTCTAAGTGTTTGTAGCAATCCTTTGTTAACTGAAAAAAACTCTTGTCTTTTTAGCCTCGTGGCAGTGCCATACCTCTTCTAGAGAGTCCCAAAACAGAAGGGGTCACTATTGAAGACAATGGAGAATGTGTTATCACTCCCAGTACAGATCTCAAGTTTTCAGCAGGATTGAAAGAAAAGAACAAACTCAACTACTGGAGGAACCACTGGCTCTTAATAGGTAAGTGGAAGTCGGCCACAGTCCATGCACACAGTCCTGCACCGCCCTCTGATGGACCAATGCAGTAACCCCATGTGCAGAGATGTTTAAAAAACAGAGAGCTGCCAAAACAGCTATTAAAATAACATCACATGCAAGCTGTGAAATGCCAGCATTATGGTCATCTGTTCAGTGTTAATCTGGCCTACTGGTGCATAGGTTTCTAGTGTGGGCATTTGAGTATAGGCAGTGGCAGCACATTATCCTTGTACTCTGTTAAAATGGAAAGTACTAGCCAGAGGAGTAGCTATTCAGTGTTTCTCCTTGTCCTCCTGCTTCACTGTGTGGCTCCCTGAATTCTTTACTGCATGCTGTGCACATCCTACAGGAAATGTACGAGGCCTGCCTCGGAGGAAGTTTTGTGGCACAGCGCAGCTTTTTACTTCTTCATGTGCTTTGATGAACTGATCTTCAGAACACCCCCCTAAGGGGCATGGGGCATCGTCCCTATTTAAGCAACAGGGGAATGAGGCAGAGAGGTTAAAGCCAATATTACTGCAGTATCACCTAAAATTAAGCCAGTTGCTTTCAGTGGTGAGAGCAGCTCTTCTGACCAAGAGCTCCAGAGAGCTCAAAAGACTGGGGGCCTGATTATTCAGTGCTTAGCATTGTCAGTTCTGAGCATCTGCAGAGCTGAGTGCTCAGCACCGATCAGGTGAACCCTCTGGTCTGAGTGATTTGTCCAGCCTCAGGTCAGACCTCTGGCAGGGGTAGGAACTAGTTTTCCAGGACAGTATTCAGCTGCCCAGACTGTGGGACCATCCTTTTTTGTTCCACCATCCTCTACTTCAGACTCAGCAACAGAGTTGGGGTCCTTTAGACAACAGCCTCCTTCACTACCCCACGCTGATTCATCCCCAGAGGTAATCAGTCCATCCTGTGTTGAGTGAGTCTTGCCCTGCATCCCTTCCCCATCCTCCTGTTCTTCACAGCTCTGTATCTGTGAAGCTTTCTACTATGAGTTCTGCAACTGGTACCACAGATTCATAGACTGTAAGGCTGGAAGGGACCTCATAAGATCGTTGGGTCCAGCACCCTGCACCAAGCAGGGAAGACAACAGGTGACTGTCCAGTCTTCTCTTGAAGATTTCCAGGGTAGGTGATAGGACCACCTGTGGACTATTCCACAGTCTGGACACTCTGACTGTGAAGTAGTTTTTCCTAACATTGAGCCTGAAACAGTCTTCCAGTAGTTTGTGACCGTTACTCCTGGTTTTCCCCATGGGTGCCCTGGTGATCACTTGTTCACCAAGCCCATAATGTATGCCTTTGGTGTAGCGTTAAGCTGCTACCAGGTCCCCTTTCAGCCTTCTTTTCCTCAGGCTGAAGAGTCCCAGATCCCTCAGCCTTTCCTTGTATGGCTTGCCGTGCAAGTCTCTGATCATATGGGTGGTCCTTCTCTGGACTCTCTCAAGATTTACCACGTCCTTGTTAAAGTGTGGCACCCAGAACTGGATGCAGTACTTCAGCTGTGGTCTCACCAGTGCTGAGTAGAGCATAGGGACCCCTGCTGAGCTCTTGTACTGCTGACATCAAGCATGCTTCGTCATGCTTTGCACATGGCCATGAACTTGCCAGTCTCAGCCTGTTTAACTGTGCTTCTCTGCCCCACTCTCCAACACAAAGCACTGGCCTGCAGGGAATCTGCAAAGGAAGCATCCTAATGAGCACTTCCCAGAAGATCACTAAGACGTGCACTAAAGGTTCCGATCTGCAGCTACTGCCTGATCCCATGGCTGGCTGAAGTCAGAGGCTGTAAGCAATAGCTGCAGGATTGGAGCTTTTAAGGACTGGACTGTTGCTTTGCTTTGAAGGGTGGGTAACAGATGGAGGTTGTTCCTGTGACAGCACCCTGGAGTAAAGAGTACATGTTCAAGAGCTGTGTGTTAGTCTGAGCTGACGGTGGCCTTAAGCTGTTTTACTGGCAGAAACGAGCCCTGGAGATTGCTGTGAGACAGAGTTGCCAAAATCATGCACATATCCCTTAAAAGGGGGAAATTCTTCTTGTAACAAATGTTGTTTTATTTAAAGGGCACCATGAAACACCATTATCTGCCCCGACAAAGATCCTGGAGAAATTTCCAAGCAATTTACCAAAACGGCATGAAAATGTGATCCCAGCTGACTCTGATAAAGCCACTTTTGAGAAGGTTGGTGATTAACCTGATTTTAGAGTGACTGAAAAAGCCACTCAAATTGCATAGGAAGGAAATGAGTGCTTTGGGGGAACTTAAGCTCTATAAAATCATGCAAGGACTTTTCCCCTGCTCTTTATGGAAGTAGAGTACCTTCCTTCCCATGTAGCTCACGGGCATCACACAGTGCAGAAGAGCTCTTTCTTTCAGATGTGTGGCTCATTCCAGCTTTCCTTCTGTTGGCAAGACTCCTGCTGCCTGTTGAATGATGTCAGTCACCAAAAGATTCTGACCAATCTGTCTTGCCCTTTAAGTCATCATCTAAATGTATTTTGCATGTGTGCTAGCAGATTAATCTCCATTATTCATGGAGACTTTGAATTGATGGAGTTTTCTCTCTCTCCTCTCAGGTTCTTGGTGTAGTTGAGAGTTCCACAACAGAATTGCCTCCTACCATGCTAAAAGACGTTGAAGAAAAGCCCAGTCGGCCTGTACCTCGGCCAGAAGCTCCAGTAGATTCCATGCTGAAAGATGTCGCCACAATCATTCTGAGCACTTTTTTGCTGATCAGCTGGGTAGCCTTCGTCATCACGTATCCAAAGGTAAATGCTGATTTGGCTTGGTGTTCTTGAGAGTTCTGAGAGAGCAGCAGCATCTGACGGCCTGGTCGTCTGCAGCAGCAGAGCAAGAGAAGGCTGACTTTAGGCAGGATGGGCTCTCTCCATTAGCAGCAGGTAATCGGAGCTAGCTGTATGGATCAGGCTGCACACCCTGAGTTATGGGTTTGGAAGTGATTTTTGTGATGTGCACTGAACACGCTCGGGACTTTCTTATTCCCCATGAGAGTTCTCCAGAGATTTTTGTACATTGTTTTTTGTGTGTGGCTTTTTTACTGACTTCAGCAAACATACCCCCATCACCTGCACTGGCCTGTCAGCAGTCAGGATCTGTCCTTTATGGATTCATAATAACAGATCATGCTAATGCCACTTCTATTGGAAAGCCAACTTCAATACTAAAGATGGCTTTTGCCATTTCAGAAAAACTGCCCAAGGTCCCTACCTTGCTGTGAGAAATTATAATGAACTAAAGAATGTTTGGTTGGTAAAGTCTCTTTTGATAAGCTGAGTCTGGTAGTGAGGTCTTTCCAGTACCTTGTGGGTGTCTGTCCTGCCTGGAAGCTTGGCTGTAGATATGCCCCTTTGCAGCTGTGCCCATGAGTTGGTCCAAGCTTGCTGGTTTGAGGGTAAGCCTCTCTCTCTTTTTTGTGGAAGAGTGTACATCAGCGGCAACAGCAACAACACCAGCAGTTCCAGAAGCAACTGGAGAAGATCCAGCTGTTGCAACAACAGCAGCTGCCCTTCAGTGTTCCCGCTGATCTCCCACCAGAGACAGACTTTCTGGACAACACCTGTGCACAGACTGAGAGTTCAGCCACCAGCACACCAAATATGTCTCCCAGAGCATCAAGCCACTCCGTATATTCCAACGCATCTGCATCCGATGTTGGCAGTGCTCTCTCCACCGAGCAAGAAGGAGGTAAAGCTGATCTTCCTTCCTAATGTGTCCCAATGTGTAACAACATTTCACCCAACCCGAGTCATAAAAGCATATTGGGAAGTGAAAGCAAGGGGATGAAAAGTGCAATCAGCAGTATTTCATAGCTGGAGGTATGTTTTGATCCTCTAGTCTGACTCCTGCCTAGCACAGGCCAGAGTGCTTCAGCCTGTGTTCCTGCGTCAGACCTGCCATTTTGAATGAGCAAGACCCAGGGCATCTCTTTAAGATCCAGTCTTGGATCTAATTCCTGGGTTCGTGCCTCTTGCAGGGGTCTGTTCTCTCCATCTTTGTTCTCTGGTCCTGCCAGCATGCGATGACCTTTTCGGAATTCAATTTTGAACAGTGATCAAAAGTTACTGCCATCCAAGGCTCACTCTTACCACCAATGTCAGTGGAAGGTTTGCTTGAGCCAGAAGTACAGGATCAGCCCCCCTGTGTCTGTCACTGGCACATGTGAAAGGAGGCAGCAGCCTTTGGCCACACAAGAGCCCACTTTACCGAGGGGAAGAAAAGCAGTTCTGTATTCCCTTTTATCAGTGTGTCATGAGTCACATTTCCAAAAGGCCCCAGCCCAGCTGGCACTGACATGGCTCATGCACAGACCAAACCTGGACCCACAAATCCAGTAGCCTGGTGTCCAGCCACCCTGCAGGTATGCATGAAGGCAGCATGAGCACCTGCACGGGAGTGTTTGTCTGACCAGAAACCTACCTCGGCTTTATTTGTAGCTTTGAAAGCATGGTGGTAAAATCCTCCTGCCCTGGGTCTTCTTCCTCAGTGTTGCACACTGAACCACGAGAGAGGAAGTGGGTTGTCTAGTCGCTCCAGAAGAACATACAAGCGCTATGTGTGGGGTTTAGAATCTGTCCTAAAATAGCTCTTTTGCCTCTTGTTTTTGTTCAGATGAAGATACAAGCACAGTAATGGTTGGGAAAATTTCCTTCAACCCAAAAGATGTCCTGGGGCATGGAGCTGAGGGAACGATTGTTTACAGGTAAAATGCTTACTTCATTTGAGGTAAAACAATTAATGTCATATTAATTTATTGAAAGGTTTACCTAGCATGAGTTGTAACGTCTCCATAGAGCTTTCAGAAAGTGTGAGAGAGATGCACGCACTTCTCTGTAGTGTTCTTTCACCGACCACAATCCCTTTGCATGTCTTCTGCATGTGTTGTAATGAACAGAGGCACCAGATCTGTTTCCAGGACTGCACAATAGGCTGGTGTGAAGTACTCACTGCCCGTTACAGCCCCCCTGCCTCAGTTGCACGGACACTCAGTTTTCTCTGCTCTGTGGCTTGCTCCCTGCAGGGGGACGTTTGACAACAGAGATGTTGCAGTGAAGAGAATCCTTCCTGAATGCTTCAGCTTTGCTGACCGTGAGGTGGAACTGCTACGCGAGTCAGATGAGCACCCCAACGTGATCCGCTACTTCTGCACAGAGAAGGACCGGCAGTTCCAGTACATTGCTATCGAGCTCTGCGCTGCCACCCTGCAGGAGGTAATGGCGGACTCCTGGTCTACGCTACCCTGACAGCAAGGAGCTGTGGCCATGGAAAGCTTCTCAGTGGCACCTTCCCCTTTCCTCAAGGCTTGGACACAAAATGCCTGTGGGCTGGTTCAGTGAGCCTCTATACTGGTGCAAATAAGGAAATGGCACATAGTGTTCAATTCTCCTCTGATGGAACTTCCTTGAATATGGTGCTGAATTGCCCTAGGAAAAATCAGGGTAAAAACAACACTGGTTTAGATGGTGCGTGTCTGTCTCCACCCAAGGTGCGGAGGTACTGGTGTGTCACAAGCGAACAGGCTATAGCAATGGTTTTCAGCCTGTGGTCTATGGATTCCTGGGGGTCTGCAGACTATGTCTAAGGGGGTCTGCGAAAGATTCACAGAAGTTTAGGACTGGAAGGGACCTCGGGAGATGATCGGGTCCAGCCCCCCTGCTCTGGGCAGGAAAGACTGCTGGGGTCAAATAACCCTAGCAAGGTGTGTGTCTAGTCTCCTTTTGAAGATCTCCTGGGTAGGTGCTTGTATCACCCCCACTGGGAGTCTATTCCAGGGTCGATCAAAAGCATGTGAATGCCCACAGGTACAATTCAGAAGGGTCTGCACCTTTCAAGAAGCAGAAGAGCAAGGCCTTGCAGGTGGAGGCTAGGACAGGCATAGCTTTGTTCAAGGAGGTAGAGTGGAAACTTTGGTGCCCTTGACTGAAGTCTGATGCAGTAGCACTTCCAGTACACCCTTCCCCCCCTGCACTTCTCCATTGCTTGCTTTAATGCACCATGATTGTCTGCCACCTTGCTATAAGGCATACGATAGGGCTTTAAGTTTTGTTCCCCCTTATATAATTTGCAGTATGTGGAGCAGAAAACCTTCAGCCACCTTGGCTTAGAGCCTATCACCCTGCTGCAGCAGACAACATCTGGCCTGGCCTATCTGCACTCTCTCAGTATTGGTAAGGAGCCTTTTGTTTCTGTATCAAATGTGGGCCTCCTGTATTGGGTAAGGGGCAAGATAAGCTAGCTTGGCATGGGGAGTTGCAGGTGCTTCATGGCTGCGTTGCCTTCCTTGTGTGATGGGTGAAGGAAGGGGGGAGGTCACTCTTTCTGCCTCTTGGAATGATACCATTCTACAGTGTCCTGGTCTCAGGGTGGCTTTGAGCCTTAAGGCGCAGCCCAAGAAGCCAAGAGAGCCAACTCCTCATCTCAGCTTTCATGGGGGACAACCTCACAGATGGGGTAGGACAAGGGAGGACTTGTCAAGGGCTTGGAGCTGCAGAATTGCTGATAGAATAAATGGGGTGTTGGTGATCACCAGGGTGAGTGAGAGCTCACTGGGTTCCCCAGTGACAAAAAACACGGCCCTTTGGGATAAGCCGTTGGTTCCACTAACATCCATTAACAAAAAGTGGTTCAGCCTGGTGAAAGGCTCCTTCCCAGTGGGTAGAACAATGAAAAGTGCACTTGGTGCTACCTGCTGTTAATAAATTGGTGTCTAACAGTCCACAGAGACCTGAAACCCCACAATATCCTCATTTCAATGCCCAATGCCCATGGGAAGATCAAAGCCATGATTTCAGACTTTGGCCTGTGTAAGAAGCTGGTGGTGGGCAGGCACAGCTTTAGCCGTCGGTCTGGAGTGCCAGGCACGGAAGGCTGGATTGCACCAGAGATGCTGAGCGAAGACTGCAAAGAAAACCCTGTAAGTCAGTCAACTTGGTCCTCTTGAGCTAAGCAACTGGAGTGCATGGGTGGCACCTGTCCTGTTCACGCAGTCGGCCCTGTCCAGCCAGAGCGCTCTGCCTTGTCCGTCAGGCTGGTTTCCAACTAAAGTAACTCTGGTCTAACTTTCAACAGTTCTAAGCATTTACAGAGTTCCTTGAAGGCAGCTCCTGGGAGGAGCAGACTCACATCCAGCTTCACAAAGGGGGCTGATGCCTGGGAGGGCTCAGAGGCCTATGCATATGTTTGGGGTACAAAGTCAACGTAAACTTATAGTGCTGGAAATGCATCCAGGCTCTTGAGTTCCTAGCCAGTGAACAGAGAGGAAGAGGCCTAGGAATGGACTTCATGCCAGCCAGCACCTTGTGTGAAGAGGCATTTAAGCTTATCCAGTAGGAACAGCCAAGTCCAAAATCCTGCCCGTCCCTTGGACTTAGTACCAAAGGGGACAATTGAGAGCCTAATGTTATTAACAGTGATGAGAGGGTTTGCCAAGGGAAGACACTGATCCAATGGCACCAACTTCTTAGCTAGCAACTGCATGAAAGCATGTGTGGCTACCTTTGCCACCCCAGCCTAAGTGGTTAGATAACTAGTTTAGCAAGCATTTGGAATAGAGCCTGGAGCAGGACTTGAACTCCTATCATCAGGGTCATAATGAGGTACTTTAACCACTGTGCTACCTTCTTTCGGTAGTGAGAAGGAGCTGCCTTCCAAGGCACTCCCTAGCCTGCCTGCTGAAGTTGGGCTATTGTGAAGACAGGAATTTAAAATAAATCAAGTAGCTGAGTCTCTGCAGCTCAGTAGTGAGGGTAGTAGCTTAGTATTCAGGAGGTCCTGAGTTCTGATCCTTACCCAGGGGACTCTTTTATACCAGTCCTGAATGAAATACACAAATTGTTGGGGACAGTTGCCCCTCAGTTACTAGCAATAAATAGTCTTTGCCTGTGGCTCAGTATCAGATACTTTAAGCACCCACTCTTCAGCTTCACCATCTCCTGGTTTCTGTTGACTTTTGGAGCATGAAATGTGCATGATTTATGTTTTTAACTGCACAACATAAGCTATATCCAAAAATTTGGGTGCAGGTCATGTTATAAATAGATATTAGTTAGCAACATACCATTTACAGGCATAAGGACTCTCGCCCCTTTTTAACATCTTCTAACTACATAATTGGTTAACAGGACTAGCAGCTGTACAGCTCAAGGCTGCTATTTGAATCACTGAGTCACAAGACTTAATGGCCATGTCCAGATGAGTGCGGACATTTGGTTCCCTGGGGACAAGTAGCAGTGGTGCACCTTGCACTGCAGGTACGTGTCCCTGGGCAATACTCTGGCCCCAGCCGCCTTACCTGGGGTTCTGAGGGCCTCCCAGGGCTGCAGCACTAGCAATCCTGCTGGGCAGAGCTTGGTTAGCTGGCAGCTGCAGCACGGCTGTGGGCAGCCCAGCCACGCATGCGCTACCCATGTACACGCTGCTTAGCATTTTTTTTTCTGTGGGTCTTTTTTTACCCCTGGATATCCAAGGGTCAAAAAAACCTGCAGAAAAAGAAACAATGGAGCAGTGCGTGCATGGACAGCACACCTTTGTCTGCAGCACCACATACTGCATGGCCGCGCTTGTCTGGACGCACCCAATGAGGTGTGCCCAGTTTAGTCACTGCTCTGGCTGTGGTTAACCAGCATTGCTCACATTATAAAAGGCTGTGCATTTAACACACAGCTCGCACTACTGTTTAGCTTCAACTTCAGAAAATTACCTGAGAAGCTGGCACAAAGCGTTAATACATCATTGCTTTTCAACACTGTTTTTGTCTGTAGACGTACACAGTGGACATCTTTTCAGCTGGCTGTGTCTTTTATTACGTCATATCTGAAGGCAACCACCCCTTTGGCAAATCCCTGCAGCGGCAAGCCAACATTTTGCTGGGTGTTTACAGTCTGGACTCCTTCAGCCCAGAGAAGCATGGTAAACTGTTCAGTGCTGTCCTAGCCTTTCCTCTATAAAGCACCACATTGTTTATGGTTGCGGTTCAGTACTTCCCAGAATGCCAAAAGGAACCATACAAGGCCTACGAACCATTGTGACCCAAGGCTACAACCAGGAACTATAGCAATTATGGAAGGCTCTTTAAAAAGAGTCAGTCATTACTGAAAGCCATGTGATATTGCGAATTTTGAGCCCTCAATTTTACTGGCACAGTTAAAATATTTCATGTACAGCCAAAACAAGGAGATGAGAGGTGAATTTTGTTCTTAGCTGTACAGGTTCAGTCTCTTTAACTTATTGATGGGATTCACAGGGTGCAAACTGATGTAGAATTTGGCCTGTTCTTTATAGGCCACGTAGTCAGCACTTCTTGGATGTTATACAGCTTAGACAAACTTCAAGTGATTTCCAGTCTTCAGTAAGCCACTGTTGGCTTCAGCTGCTTCAAATAGCTTGTTCTCACTTCTCTTGCAGAAGACTTGGTTGCTCATGACTTAATCGAGCAGATGATTAACATGGATCCTCAGAAACGTCCCTCGGCTAGTTGTGTGCTGAAGCACCCACTCTTCTGGAGTCTGGAAAAACAGCTCCAGTTTTTCCAGGTTTGGCTTCTCCATTTCCTTTTCTATCCGTGACTAATTGCATTGCAGCACCGCACTTTCACTCTTACGTTTCATTTTTGATATTGTTGATGGTGTTGCTAGTAGAATCAGCAGTTCAAGAGTGTGCAGGGTAAGTAACAATGTGCAGCTTTGGTGTTTAATCACTGCACATAGGAAAAGATTTAGTTCTGCAGAAAGATGCAGTCTCACAAGCATGTTAGGTTTTCTGCAATGCAAGAACCATGGAAGTCTCTCCAGACCTGAAGTTCCTTACCCTGTACCTTGTCTGTTACATTGTACTGCCTCAAAGGAATAAGTTTTAGTTATTCAGGAAATCTCTTCATCCGTCACAGTCAGCAATTTGGGGAAAAGTCTGAAATAAAATTACAGCACTTGGAATAACCTGACTGTCTCTTGTAGGATGTAAGTGACCGAATAGAAAAAGAATCCTTAGATGGTCCAGTAGTCAAGCAATTAGAAAGAAGAGGGAGAGAGGTGGTGAAAATGGACTGGAGAGAGCACATCACGGTTCCCCTTCAGACAGGTAAGTGAAATTATAGCCACCAGTTGTGTAAGTGAATTACAGGCTGCGCACACAGAAAAGCAGTGTCCCATTGAGTCTCCGGTTTGGTACAAGACATCGCGGCTTGTAAGCAAGTACCGAACACCTTCAGATGAGAATATATATATGCACACGTGTGCTCCATATCTTGCTTTTTAAGGCAAATCTCTTGAAACCACAAAAAACAACAGTGGCTTGGTACATTTCATGCCCTGTTTTCCCTTGTTGGCTACATGTTTTCTTTAAGGACAGAGATAATGAAGTTCAAAAATGATATGGGGGTCATATGGATTAAGCAGTTTATACTGCCTGGGTGAAGCCTGACTTTTTTCTGTGGTGTTTAAAGTAACACTTTGAAGCCTCTCTTTGGCACAGTAGAACAAACAGCTGTGTACCCTGGCTAAAAGCTGGGGAGATAGCAACAGGTCCCCACCCTGGAGGACTGTCTGCTTCAGATCACCTAAACAAAGCATTTGTTTTTTCAGATCTTCGAAAATTTAGATCTTACAAAGGGGGATCAGTGCGGGATCTTCTGCGGGCAATGAGAAATAAGGTAAAAGATGAGAGAGAGAGTGCACGGGCAAGTGCAGAAAATACACATTGGACTCTTAGAATCTGCATCATACAAATTCAGCCCCCAGAATTGTTTCACAGTCTTTATAACTATGTAGAAATACCAATACTGCCATTTATTCTGCCTTCTTGATAGACTGTGGCTTCCAAGCCAATTCACTTCTATTGCAGCACATCCTCATTACAATGAACACTTGTTTATAACTTCCCCTGCTTAACAATGCCAACAGCAGGACCCACATTTTTCAGTGTGATGATGTAGCAAAATTGACTAATCCTATGATAGCAAACGCCCTCCCCGGGACCATGCCAGTGCCCTCTAGTGAAGCTGCACTGGAACTACTTTGCTCTCAACTGTTTTCACCTCCATAAAGCCCAGCCTACCATTTGGTAAGGCTTCTCTGGCCACTAAACCATTTCTTGCAACATATATGATAGAACTGTGGCAGCGGGAGGCAGAAAGCAAAGACCTTACAACAAATGTTCTTCCTGCTCTAATTCCAGAAACACCACTACAGAGAGCTTCCCACAGAGGTGCAGGAGACGCTGGGCACCATCCCAGATGACTTTGTACGCTATTTTACATCCCGTTTCCCTCGCCTGCTCTTACACACTTACCATGCTATGCAAATCTGCAGCCAGGAAAGACTGTTTCAGCCTTACTATGTTCAGGACTCTGTAGGTCAGGGACTGCTGGGAGATGCTGTTTGAGAAGGTGGGGACAGAGCTCCCTTCTCCGTGACCAACATTCCAAACAGGCTGTAAAATGGGCCCGTCTCTAAGCAGAGACTCATGGGATCAAAGAGCAAAATGTCTCCCTGAGGAACCCATACGCCCAGAAAGTGCCTTGTACTCTGCACACACTGCATCAGGAAGAGAACAGGAGGAGCCCAAGGAGTGAGTGGTACCTTCAGAAGAGCAGGGCCCCGCAGCAGAGGAGCCGTCTCACGGCAGCTTTTGAAAAAGCAGGACAGACTGCAAATGGCCAGATGGAAACATCGTTCTACTGCTGAACATCCCTGCACTGTATTTTATTCCATTCATGCCTTTTACTGCACACAGCCAGACCACAGCAATCCAAACCATGCGATGACTATGCACTAGGAGGAGGAAAAGGAGCTGTTTAGTTGTAGCAAACCTGCCATTGCACTACTGCTGCCTTGTGCGTTAGAAGCAGCATCTTAGATTCAGTGAAGTGATTGTAAAGGGAATCATCTACCAAAATCCAAAACCAGTAAAGAGAATGTAACTTCTGCTTAATCAGTGCAACTCTCACACATCAGTTTTGGGCTCCACAGTTCAAAAAGGATGTGGAGAAGCTTGAGAGAGTCCAGAGAAGAGCCATGTGCATGATCAGAGGTCAGGAAAACAGACTTTACGATGACAGGCTGAGAGCTATGGGGCTCTTTAGCCTGGAAAAGCACAGGCTCAGGGGTGATCTGGTGGCCACCTATAAGTTTATCAGGGGTGACCACCAATATCTGGGGGAACGTTTGTTTACCAAAGCGCCCCAAGGGATGATGAGGTCGAACGATTATAAACTACT